GGGAAAGAGAAAAGGTTGGGGAAGGACCCTGTCCATGTTGTTCAGCTCCATATCCCTGGTGCTAAGAACAGTACCCACCACATAGATGCAGAATGAGTATGTGTTAGACAGATGAATACAAAAGAGAATGTTTGGGGAGAGAGTTTTGCAGTTTTCTCAAAGCATCCTTGTCCGAGGTCACAGCCTCTCTTCACTCGCAGTGGACTTCAGCCCAACAGCAACTGCTTATGCTTCCTTATCAACCTCTCTCGTTCTCAGATCTTCAGATCAGATTCTTAACTTGGAATCCATGTGTGGACTTCAGGAGTTTTAGGGATTCCTTGAAATTATACGGGGATATATGCATTTTTCTAGAGAGGGGGTCCACAGTTCTCTTCAGATTCTCAGGGGGTTCATGACCCCTTAAATGTCAAGACCATCTGCTACTAGGACCATAACTAGGACTTTTTCTACATGCAGTTTTCAGGTGTTTGAGCCTTTCAGTTTTCTTTTTAATTTAAATATTACACTGGATTTTACAAAGCATACCCCAGAAAGGTCACGTAGCCATTTTGGTGAGTAGTGATTACCTAGTCACACAGCTATGAGTACCAGTGATTAGAAGTTACATTGAATCTTCTAAAAGGGAAATAATTCCCTGGGATGTGGCTATAGTGCCCAGAGCAACATAATCCTAAAGACTAGAATGCAAGCAAAGAAGGGCCAAATACTCCCCTTCCCTGAAGGGTAAAGTGGAGAACAGCCCAGGACCTCCTAGTTGCTGTAGGATCTAGTATCCCCCTCCTCTTCTATTAAAGTAACCAATGAATTGTCCATCAGTGTGTACAGTCTTTTCATTGGGTCCGATAACTCCTTACCTTTCAGAGATTGGGAACAGTATTATGGTGTAGGTCACATAGTTTTATGTCATGTGTTTCTTTTATAGGACAAGTCCAGAACGAGATCCTCTCATTCTCCTATCTCGGAAAAATCCAAAACTTGTTGATGCAGAATACACCAAAAACCAGGCCTGGAAATCTATGAAAGTAATCACCAATCATCTGACTAGAACTACAGCAGTGAACATTTTCACTCAAAGAACATTGCCACCTGGGTAGAATTTCAGATTTCCTCTCAGTGTTGGGATGAATATAGAGGAAGTTCCATGGACTAAAATTAGCATATATGTAAATTATTCTTTTTCAAACTCACATTGCTTTTCTGGCCCATATTATGACTTGTATTTTATACAATTTTGAAGGTTTAAACAGAGGTCACAAACTTTTTATGTAAAGGACCAGATGGTAAATGTTTTAGGCTTTGCAGATTCTAGAGTCTGGGTTGTAGTTACTCAGCTCTGCCATTGCAGTGTGAAATCAGCCGTAGACAATATGTAAACGAATGAGCATGGCTGTGTTCCAATGAAACTTTATTTATGGCACTGAAATTTGAATTTCATGTAATTTTCCTGTGTCATAAAATATTCTCTTTTGGATTTTTTTTCCAGCCATTTGCAAGGTAAAAATAATCTTAGTTTATGTGTTCTGTACAAGAATAAGCAGTGGGCTGGATCTGGCCTGTGGTCTGTATGTTTGCCAGCCCCTGGTTTAAACCAGTGGTTCTCAACCCTGACTATACAATCCAACTAGAGAACTTAAAAATGAATAGAATGAATCAGAATCTTTGGAAATGGCATATAAGCATCTTCATTTGTTTAAAACTCCCCAAGTGATTCTAAGGTGAAAGCAATGACTGGCTTCTTTGGTTTGAAGTCCATCTCTATCCTCTTAACTCTTTCTTGCCTTATTCAAAGAACCTTAAGCCCTAAATGTCCTCATCTGAAATTTCCATATACCATATGAGGATGATATGAGAAAAATGTTTAAACTTCTTGTCAGAAAAACTAAGTAAAAACTAAAAAATACTAAGTAAAGCTGCATGTATTTATTATGTGACTGCTTAATTCAAACAGGAGCAAAGGCAGTATAAGAAACTTTGTTAAAAAATAAAAATATGAAAAATGTATCCATTCAGCCCAGCATCTACTATGGGAGGCTGCAAAAGCAAACAAGACTTGTTCCCCTCATCGAGTTTACCCTCTGCTAAGGTGGCTGGAATACAGATGGGGGTCTCAAACTCCGATACCCCCAGGGGCTGCACTAGTGAGCAGAAGAGAGTGCTGAAGGTCCGGTCATTGCTGCCCAGGGGAATAGGAGTTCGCTTTGCCAAATCTTCCTTTTTTTTCCCCAAGAAAAGTTGGAAATCTGAGTTTTTGTAAGAAACACTCTGCCACCTATAAATGTTGGCAGTGGTTAGAATATTTATTTTTAAATACTTTGTGAGCTCAACAAAATTTGTGTGTGGGCTACACCTCTAAGCCCACCAGCCACCATTTGTAACCTCCTGTGCAGTATGATTTACACAGAGTGAAATGTGCTGCAGACCATGACCTCTGAGTTCAGGGGATTCACATGGTTCCAAGGGAGCTTAAACTCTAAAATCAGACAGAACCATGTTGAAACCCGAGCTCTTCTACTTAGGGCCATGTGACCCTGAGCAAGTCTCCCAACTTCTCAAAGCCTTGGCTGCTTCATCTATAAAGTGGGATAATCATGCCTCCTGAGTCTGGTTATTATAAGATTTAAATGAGGTCATGTTGATGAAATGTTTAGCAATGCTTACTGCACAGTGGTCTTCAATAAATGCTCCTACTCCTAGTATTAATAACTTCCTTTTCACTGAAAGGATACCTTGGGAAAGCCAGCTGCTAAGGATGTCCATCTTGTGGATCACTGCAAATACAAGTAAGACTTACAGAACTCCTGACTCCTAGTTTCCCTATTGCTTTTGGAATAGCTTCACTTTGGGTGAGAGTTTTAATACTAGGGTCCAGCCGGGGTTTGCGAAAGTCACATTAATTCACTTAGCTATTATTTTCTCAGAATCTGCTGTGCACAAGGCTCTGAACTAGGTTCTGTGGGAACTGTGGAGACATGAAATGTGGTCCCTGCTTCCAAAGAGCTTGCGTGCTTGTAATCAAAGGGATGGGATTCCTTCTCTCCACACCCCGCCCAGCCAAGAGCTGAAGTTAGATCAAGTATTTATTAGGTTATTAAAAACAATTTACGGTCCGACGTGAATGAAGCATATGTAGCTATTATATGAATAAACATTTATTCATAAATGCCAGGACTAAGGATTATATGCACAGGTAAAACCAGGTCAGGAGGAGGGCAGTGGGGGGATTCAGAGAGATGAATGCTGATTATACTGCACAGTGGGAACTATAGGGTAGAGGCAGCTCTGGTTGGAGACAGGGGGACATGCATGGGAAATGCTGAAAAGAAAATATTCTTTTCTAAGTTAGCTTTTTTCCAGGGGGCATTTCTTTGAAGATTGATTAGGTATGCCTGGTTATCTTCTCCAGATTTCATAAGAGGGAATAGGGAACAGGGCACGCCTTTGACCAGGTAGGGTACCCTATGGGAAAAACAAGGCTTTGGGAGGCCATGATGAGTTCAAGACTTTAGGCCTAGAAAAACTTGTAGCAAAGGGTGAGGTGTTGTTTCCATCTGAGCCTTGTATCCGCTGTACCCAGCACCCAGCTGCTGGTCCTATCAGTCTCTCCCTGGAGAAAGTATCCCTTTTTTCCCCCTCTCCCTGATATTCCCAGGAACAACCTCTAAGCCCTGGAACAACAAGGAGTTTATAGAAACTTCACAGGGACATGCTGATGTGTCCTTGAAGACTGAAAATGGAAAAAGAAAGGAGAGGGGGTAATAAAAGGAAAGAAGGGTAAGAGGGAGTAAGAAAAAAAGGTCACATCTGTGGAAGTAGGCATCTAGTTTCAAGTATATTTTGCTCTTTCTTTTCCAGGTATCTGTTTAATTTTCGGGGTGTAGCTGCAAGTTTCCGGTTAAAACACCTCTTTCTGTGTGGTTCACTTGTTTTCCACGTCGGTGACGAGTGGCTGGAATTCTTCTATCCACAGCTGAAGCCGTGGGTTCACTATATCCCAGTCAAAACAGATCTCTCCAATGTTCAGTAAGCAGCTCTCCCTCAAGCAGAGTTTCCGATGACTCCTGCAATCTGCCTCTAAGTCCCCAGCCATTTAAGACATTTACTCCTGATGACTTTTTCCATTGAAAGCTTTTTATTTTTCATATTTGGTTCTCAAAGATAGTATAGCATTATTATCCAACTAGGCTGAGTGGGATTTAATTTTTTTGGGGGGGGATTTAATTTTTAAAAGCTCTCTAATGCTGATTTAAAATGTAACATTCAGACAGTATGCAGTGAAAAAGCTCTAATCTCTCAAAGACTAGAGAAATGGGTATTCAGTTGTGTTATATTGTCAAAAGGACTTTCAGATACAGCATGAAAATTGACCTCAGTGAAACTGAGGCAAATTTCCTCTCATGGAGGGAGAGGCTAGGATGAGGAATGGAGAAGGGCCAGAAATGTAAGCTCAGCGCCCTCTTCTGGGGGCCAGAGCAAGAAACAAGAGGGAAATTTTTTCTTTACTATTGATTTTTGATGTGTATCATTGAATATTTCTCTATTTTTCCAAATATGTTCCGGAACTACAACATTGTCTTTCGCCTGTGTGTGAGATATTTGTTGCTGCTGCTGTTGTTGTTATTTTGTTCCTGTGAGGACCTGATATCTTTGCTTTAAAAAAGAAATAATTCACCATCCACATAACTAGAGATTAACTATAGACCTCAATCTATGATCCCTCTGACTTAGTACTAATGAGCTTGGTCTGTATTTCAGAGCCTAATATTCCTTTCCATTTTAGGGAGCTGTTGCAGTTTGTAAAAGCAAATGATGATGTAGCTCAAGAAATTGCTGAAAGGTAAGTTCTGTTCATTTTTCTTTTTCCACTTTATCATCCCCATTTTGCCTGAGCTAATGTCATAAGAATGCTGTTACCATGGTGATACCTGAATTTCAGCCTCATTATACAGAGATGATCAGAATCAAAGCTGTCTGGGGGGAAAACACACATTCACATATGTCCTAAGCCCATCCTTTGTAGAGTTAGACTGAAATCTTTGAAGTCATTCAAGTACTATTTCTGAGGATTGGCTGTTTACATATTTGTTTTTAAGAAAAAAAAAATCACGTCTATTTCCAAATGCGTGTGTGTGGATATGATGGCTATAGAGTTGGTTCTGAAGATCAGAGTTAATTTATATAAAGTGCTCTGAACAGTGCTTGGCACAGGTAAACACTCAAGTGTAAGCTACTAGTATTATTCAATGGTGTGCTTTATTCTTGTTAATCTTGTCTCTAGGGGAAGCCAGTTTATTCTGAACCACTTGCAGATGGATGACATCACCTGTTACTGGGAGAACCTGTTGACTGAATACTCTAAATTCCTGTCCTATAATGTAACAAGAAGGAAAGGCTATGATCAGATTATTCCCAAAATTTTGAAAACTGAACTCTAGTAGTCATCATTGAGCCATAGTCCTGTCTATGGCAGCAGATCTCAGACATCCTGTGGTGAGAAGCTCACTGTAAGTGTGACACCTATACCTTGGATACTATTACCAAGCCAAATATCTGGTTTTCCTTATCATGCTGCACCAAGAGCAACTTTCGAGAAAGATCCAAAATATGTTTAATATAGATATGAAGCAGCTCAACGCTTTGGCTGAATAAGGACCAGAAATCATGAGATGTGGGTTTTGAACCTGATTCTGCCTTTCATTTTCTTAGGACCAATCACAGCTTGTGCCTCAGATCATCCACATGTGTATGTCCCTCACTTTGGAACTGACTGTGCGCGACTGTGCCCATGGGATGATGCCCTTTGTCTCATTGTTTGGAGTAGAAAGTCAATCCTTTGGAACTAGTACAACTCATCACTGCAGTTCTGCAGTTATTCTACACTTGATTTCTGTCGCTATATTTCAATGTAGAAAGCCCTTTAGGGTTTGTGAAAAATACTTGGGGATTATTTCCTAAAAGGTCTAAGGAAGCAATAGTGTGCCATGCCATGATGTAGGAGCTCTCTTCTGTAAAAGCCTAAACTCTTTGGTACTCAGGAGATTTCTATAAAGCCACGTAGAAGGGGGCCAATTGCATGAGCAATTTTTGCAATTGGATTTCAAGTTCCCTTTATGTACCTTCACACCCTTCTTTATGTTCTCTTTCAAAAAGAAGAGATAAAAACCTCTTAATAAATTTAGGAAATGGTCCTTACTTTTTAGAGGAACTGTGCATAAAACAGCATCTCCTCCTCATTCTTCACACGCCCTTAATATTTTTCCTCCTTGAGTTGGCGGTAGTCCATGCTTGCAGGGATCTCAAGGAGTCTTCATGTGTGAAATGGTGTTAAGTTGGGAGTTTAGAGCATTCAACTTTAGCACTTACTTATATAGGAGATGTTTGTTTTAGTGCACATCCATGTTGGAGTGCTTTCTTTTCCCTTTTTGAAAAAGACATTTGGATAGTAGTTTAATCTCAGGCTGTTCTCCCTAACATAGTTGAAAATGAAGAAAAAATTTTAGATTAAAACCCATATAGTCTCTCCCTGGTGGCACAGTGGTTAAGAATCCACCTGCCAATGCAGGGGACACGGGTTCAAGCCCTGGTCCAGGAAGATCCCACATGCTGCGGAGTAACTAAGCCCGTGCGCCATAACTGCTGAGCCCGCGCTCTAGGGCCTGTGAGCCACAACTACTGAGCCCGTGTGCCACAGCTACTGAAACCCACGCACCTAGAGCCTGTGCTCCGCAACAAGAGAAGCCACCACAATGAGAAGCCCACACACCACAACGAAGAGTAGCCTCTGCTCGCCACAATAGAGGAAGCCTGTGCGCAGCAATGAAGACCCAGTGCAACCAAAAATAAATCAATAAAATTTATAAAACAAAAACAAACAAACAAAATAACCCATATAGTCTGATGACACAGAACCAGCCTTGTCCCTTAGGCCCAGACTTTCCACAGAGAAATCAACTCTTTGCCTTTTTTTTTTTTTTTTTTTTTTGGCCTTCCTCATTCTAGTTAGGATGTTTTCAGTTATAAATACCTGAAAGCTTAACTCAGACTTACACAGTAAAAGGGAGTTATTGCTTATATATCTGCAAAGTCCAGCAGCAGTCACACTTCAGGGGCTCTGGACGGGCAGGCTCAGTGGCCATGGCTCACGGGCCCAGCCACTCTGCGGCATGTGGGATCTTCCCAGACTGGGGCACGAACCCGTGTCCCCTGCATCGGCAGACGGACTCTCAACCACTGCGCCACCAGGGAAGCCCTGCCTTTGCCTTTTAAGAACTGTTTGGTATTAACTGGTTTCAAAATTAGTAAATGTGAGATTCAGTTATATAAAATCAGGGACTTTATTCCACTTGTGAAACATGTGTTGGGCCTTTTAAACTCCCTTTCACAAAATTGTAAGCCTAGGGACCTTCTTAGAGGACCTTCTGGTAAGATCATTGCATAGAATAAGGCAGGTGTTTAAAGTTGGATTTTTTTGAGTATTAAAAACTCATGGCGGGGGCTTCCCTGGTGGTGCAGTGGTTGAGAGTCTGCCTGCTGATGCAGGGGACGTGGGTTCGTGCCCCGGTCCGGGAAGATCCCAAGTGCCGCAGAGCGGCTGGGCCCATGATCCATGGCCACTGAGCCTGCGCGTCCAGAGCCTGTGCTCCGCAATGGGAGAGGCCACAGCAGTGAGAGGCCCGCGTACAGCAAAAACAAAAACAAAAAAACACGGGGACTGTGTTCTTAGGTGCTATAAGTCTGGCGTTAAGCAGTCCAGATTTCTGAGTTGTACTGTGGTTTTGCCTAATCAATAGGAGGCCCTGGTAGATATTATCATTCTATTTTAATTTTTTTCTCACTAAACTAGGAGCAAAATTTTCTGTCCTTTGGATTAGGAGCTGAAGGTGCATTTCCCTGGGAGTGTTTCCTACTTTGCTTCAAAATCCAGCTCAAGCATCATCTTTCAGAATCCTTGTTTTCATTCCTCTAGGCAGTTAGAGGCTATCATAATACTTTGCTCATGCCTGTATTATATGATATCACATTTGACTGTTTCTCCTACTGTTCTGTGAGCTTCTTCATGGGTGGGAATCATGTTTTACTTACCCTGATTTCTCCATTATCCAGCACAGTGCCTCACACAGAAGGATGTACAGAAGAGTGTTGGAAGGATGGATGGATGGATGGATGGATGGATGGATGGATGGATGGATGGGGACAGCAGGCTTAACTAAATCCTATTTACAGACTGCCCAGACGTTGACTTCAAGGGGGACTGGACAAGACTGTAAGAATTGGATCAATGCAAATTCTCACCTGCCTTTTGAAGAGTTAATAAGAACATCTTTGTATTTAAGTACAGCAAATGTTATTCAGATTTTACAGTTATTTGTTTACCTCTGCATAGATGGTATGAAGATGGTGTGTAATGACATGTAAAATGTATGGTTTTGAAAATAATTTTTATCTCCATAACTTTTGAAGTTGTTGTTGCTTGTTGTTAATACTATCTGGGTCTCAAACTTACCATTTCTTCCTCAGAGAGCTAGAAGCCACACTTTTCTTCAAGGAAAGAAAATAATTGAATTTATTTGAGTGAAGTGGGATACTTGGATAACACAAGTAATGATTTTCCTTTATTTGGGGAGTATCATCTGTGTGATATTGTCAGTGTGCCACCTTATTCTGCTGTTACATCAGGTTTTCCTAACGGAAAAGAAAAGAAACCACCTCTAGCTGGTTTAAGCAAAAGAACTTTTTAGAAGGATATGAGGGCATCTCTGAGTAGTTGGAAGGGTAGAAAGCAGAGCAGTTTCAGGAATATCAACAAGGGTTTGGATAGTTTCTGGAGTGCTGCTGTGTGCAGTTCCAGAGACAGCCAGGCTCTGTCTCTCAGCCCTAAATTCCCAAGAGAAAAAAATTTAATGGCCTCCTTTGGGTCAGTTCTGAAGAGGATAGTTCCCTACCCTTTACCCCTGCACTGACTATGAACAAGAGAAACACAGATACATTAAAAAACCATCTTCTCATGCATCTAAAGATGCCCTCACTTAACGTAATCCGACTGCATCCCGAGGTAAGATGCTGTGGGTGAAGCAAAGGGGTACAATTATAAATCACTCATTTAATATTTATCAGATACTTCTTGAGCATTTACTGTGCACAGCAGTGGGAGATAAGAAAATGTTTACAACAGGCTCCCTAGCATGAAGGAGCTCTCTAGGTGAGATGATAAAGTAAAAATAATATGAGAGGCTTCATAGGCAGAAGGTAATTAAGGTGATATGAGGCCCTAATCATAAGGCCAGTTATTCATAAAGACAATGTGGATCTGAAGTTTAGAGGGAGAAGAAATTTCTATCTGGTGCAGATGGAAACTTCCTGGAGGTAAAAACTGAGTTACACTTTGAGGGATGGTTAAATGAAGTGGTCCTTGGAGTTCTCAGAATTCATTCTCTTTACCTGTGGTAACAGTTTTTACATAATATAATAAAATGTAACATATGTAGCAAGGGCAGTACGTGGTGAACCTAGCAGGGAAAGGGAACCTTCTGCCGCCTGGGAGAAAATTCATGATGGGGGGAGAAGCTACTGGGTTCTATGAGCAGAAATCAGCAAAAGGTCTGAGGATAGAATAGTGGTGGTTCCAGGCACACTGTGCTGACTGCACTGAAATTTTCCCTTGATGCCTCTACTGTGGTGGCAAATGCACATCCTGGGGAGGAGTGAGCTAAATGTGAAAGAGTGGTCTGAGTGAGTCACGTGACACCTTTTGGCTTAGTGTTGCTCTGAGACCCTTCAAAAAGGCAGACCACAGAGCACGGAGAGTACTTTCATAGTGGTAAAGGAAGGTAAGTCCCAGGGGCTTTGAGCAGCGGGAGAGTGGGAGGGTGACAGAGTAGTTGTCTGAGGAGCTGAGATGGAATAGCAGCAAAAGTGTGGGCGGGGCCTAGGGTCCGTGGACTTCTTGAGCGACCAGATGGCAAAGGGAACCTTACAAATGAAGCTTAGTTACCCAAATGAGAAGCCAGCTGTGGAGTTAGCAAAATTTGCCTGTTAACATAACCTCATCTGTATCTGTAAGGTAGTGGGGGGACATTTGAGTTGTATATAAATGATTTCAGTAATAACTGCCCAACACTCCCACCCTCCAATTCAAAGTTCTCCTCATCGCAGAATGATTCTGGGGTCATCTTAAGCATTTAGATTTTCCACATGTACACTAGACAGACTGGACAGCCATTTCCTTGGGCTTTCAGGCCTTGGGACTTTATCCCGGTGCCCACCTCCCCCTCTATGGGATAGGCAGCAACCTGCAGCCAGAGCCAAGAGTCAGGGGATCTGAATTCTTTATTGGACAACCTATGTGCCAGCCATGATAGGTACTGGGCATAGAGAGATGAATATAAACGGTCTCTGACCTCAAAGTTAGTCTACTGAGACACACTGCAAATAGGAAATCGTGATGCAATGTAGTAAATGTTATGTTGGGAACTGAATCTAATCCTGGCTCCCAGACACCAGAGATCTTCCTGGCGCCGTGACTGACTCAGCTAGTCACTCTTATCAGTAACTTCCTGGGCCTTATCCATAGAATTCCAGCTATCAAATTCCTGAACTCTATTTACTGTATCCTACTGAAGAGTGTAACGATTTCTAATTACACCTAGAAAGGAATCAAGGATGGGTAGGGATTGGCAAAGAGAACATGTGACTATATTTGGTTGCTAGCAAAGATTAAGTGAAATTACACAAACCAGTTTGAGAATATTTTAAATGCGTGCATTTTAATAAAAACTATACTTTGAAGCACATGTTAGTGGAGACTGTAGTGACGGGAAATTATTGCTGGACTATCAAGCAAACGCCTGGTAGAAATTCCAGAAATTGTCCTGCCTTTCGAGAAACAGTAGGCATACGAACTAAGGGGAGTAAAACCCATCTTGTGAAGCCCAGGGCCGATTTCTTTAAAAAGTGTTCTGGAAATCTCGGGGTAACTGGCACCAAGACCCCTGTTCAACGCCTCGGTCCTTTCCGAAAACAAGAATGGACCCCACCCAGCCCGGGAGTCCGTGACAGGGTAAGTTGGGCTTGTATTTGCGCAAATTGCCTTCCCCTTTCCGTACTCCACTTGTAGTGAACACTGCACTTTCTTCACCTACATGGGGTTTCTGCCGTTTTAAATACGCTAACCTACTTTAGCTTGCGAACACGTCTCGCCGCCTGCAAACTGCCTAACTCGCCCGTTTTCTTGGCGCAGGAAGACCAGGCACATGACGTCAGAGGCGGGGCCAGAGAGCGCTGAGCGTGTCTACTCGCCGCCACCTCACTTCCGGCGGGCCTACACCGCACCGCAGGGGTCCTTCCCGCCTCCAACCGGAAGTGTGTTCGGCTCCAGTTCCGCCTTTGCTCCTCTTTTGGCCTTTGCCCCTCTTTTGGCCTTTGCCCTCGTTGGGGCGGGATTTCCTGTCTCGTGTGTCCAAGGGCTTCCAAAGTGAGGCCCGGCCCTGACGGCAAGTTTGTCAGGCGGTGTGGCAGCGGTTACGGCCGCGAATTAGCTCGGGCGTAGTGTACGGGTACTCGTCCACTCCTTCTTGCAGTTATCCTCGCTCTTCTCCCACGGCGCCTCCGGGAGGCCTTGGCGCCCTGAGCGCCCAAGCGAGTGTCTGTCGGCAGTTTCGTAGAGGGCCATGGAGGTGCCGCCGCCGGCGCCACGGAGCTCCCTCTACAGGGCGCTGAGTCCTTTCTCTCGGGTCTTTGCTGCCGAAGCTGTGGCCGCCGATCCCAAGGCTCTTGTGAAAGACGAGAAGCTGCCTTCCTACGTCCCAGAGCCCCAAAACCCGGAATCCGGATGGGACCGCCTCCGAGAGCTGTTTGTCAAAGAGTAAAAGTACCTACTGTCTGTGGGGAGGGGCTCAAAGGAGGTGACCTGCTGCCTGGGTCATCTAGGGCGAAGGACCCCAGGGTGGTGGGATTTATCTTTCTGGGATTTGGGGTTTTAATATTTGTATTCCAAGTTTGTACCCTACCATTGCCTTTTGGTAGTTCTATTGGTTGACAGGCCGGTTTTCAGGTGGTGAGACTAACTGAAAGTCAGAGCTTTTAGGGGTTTTAGGGACTGTAGTCTTAGTGTAATCCCCCGATTTTACAGATTAGAAGAATTGAACCAAGCTACTTAGTGATCCTAGAACCAACATCTGTAGGACTCCACTCCAGTATTCTTTTTCATGTTTCACTTGATCCCAGATTTTCATGAACAGCAGCCCTTCTCCTCGCCATAAAAGTGGAGGTTGGAGAGATAACAGAGAGTTGTAAAATTTTTATTCTGCCAAATAAGGAATATATAAAAAAATAGTAGCAACTGTTGTCTCATCAGTTTATAAAAGAAAAGATATTAGCTGGATTCACAAATAAGGATGTTTCACAATAAAGAATAAAATAAGCCTTTAAACTAACTTTAATGGAAACCTCAGGATAATTAGTTAATTTTATCATTTTTTAAAATTCATCACTCACTGGTGAAAAGTTAGCCCTCTTATGAAGTACTTTACCATATACTACACTGTGTTATCAAGTGGATAAATTAACATTTAAGTTTTAGTATGTTACTGAGATAGGGCAGGGGAGCTGGTGGAATTGTATTTAATTACTTTATTTAGTTTCATCATCTCATTTTAAAGATACCAAGGCCTCCCTTCTCATTGGTCGTTCCAAAATTTGAGATATCTGTGAACGATTCTGTGTAGTACACAACAGAAAAGTGTTATTTTGATCAGCTTTATAAACAACAGAATGATGAGCTGAAAGAATAATAATTTAGTGTGACTTTCATTCTCCCTTCCATGTCATGGGTGAGGAAACCTAGGTTCAGAGCGATTGTGTTCTGGCTGCAGGTCACTTAGCAGTGGATGACAGAACCAGAACCACAACCCCATTGCTGTTACTTAGTCCAGGTCCTTTCCACCACTATGCCTTGTTTGTACACTGTTCATTAGCTCTTAGGGCCCATCATGTAACTTCTTAGAGCCTCTATCTATAAAATGAAGAAAAATGCCACCTATGTCATGGAATTTTTCAGAGGATGAGAAAGAGGAAAACATATTGCATTTCCTGGCTTGTTAAATCTTTTTTTTTTTTTTTTTTTTGGGCGTCTCGCGGGCCTCTCACTGCCGTGGCCTCTCCTGTTGCGGAGCACAGGCTCTGGACGCGCAGGCTCAGCGGCCATGGCTCACAGGCCCAGCTGCTCCGTGGCATGTGGGATCTTCCCGGACCGGGGCACGAACCCGTGTTCCCTGCATCGGCAGGCGGACTCTCAACCACTGCGCCACCAGGGAAGCCCCTGGCTTGTTAAATCTTAAGCTCTTATACATTTACTCTTTTCTGAGTTCTACCAGTTTTTATGTAAATGTTGTTTTTGGTCCTTATTCATTATAAAAGATAAAATGTAAAGTTCAGCTTATAGCAGTTTTTCCTCTTGATATAGGAATTAGTTTTCTAAGAGATTTTATTAAGGTTTCTCTCTTGTATATGCAGGAACTATAAAAACTTACTGATTCTGATTTCAGAAATGTAGTGGTTGTTATTGGCAATTAGAATTAAACATTTGTACAGCCTCTGAATAAAGCAAGTTAGTAATGTAAAAAATTAACATTTAGGGCTTCCCTGGTGGCGCAGTGGTTGAGAGTCCGCCTGCCGCTGCAGGGGACACGGGTTCGTGTCCTGGTCCGGGGAGATCCCACATGCCACGGAGCGGCTGGGCCCATGAGCCATGGCCGCTGGGCCTGTGCGTCCGGAGCCTGTGCTCTGCAACGGGAGAGGCCACAACAGTGAGAGGTGTACCACACACACAAAAAAAACCAAACCAACAAACAAAATTAACATTTAGTAGTTTACTTATGTAGGAGGGCCATTATTTATAGTAACTGAACACTTACAAACTTAGCTATTTCTTAGAGCAATTTCCAGAGGACATCTTGGAAGCTCCAGTACAGGTTCTGGTTTCTTATGCTTTTGAGAGTAATAGATTGGATTAAATGGTAGTTTTTCCCTGTTATTTTAGGTTTGTCTATGTTGCTCAGTGCATAGTGAGCTTTCTTATTCAATGGTCTTTAATAGTACAGGCCCATCTGAGCATGACATAAAAATTAAATATTCAGAAAGGTAAAGTTTTGATTTTTTTTTTTTTTTACATCTAGGAATTCATTCTGGCATATGTTATCCTAAAATCTCATAAGCTCGTGTAATTTCCAAAAGTTATCTAAAAATTCAAAAAGGGAAATATTGATCTGTACATCCAGTTCACAAATTCTTTCTGTTTACAGGGATACAGTAGAGCTGTAATAGTCATCAAATAAAATAACTTTAAAAAACAACCTTTTTATTGGAGTATAGTATGCACCTAGAAAAATGTACATAAGTATACCACTCAGTGACTTTTCACAAAGCAAACATAGCTGTGTATGCAGCCCCAAGACTGTTAACAGCATCCCAGAATCTCCCCCTGGTGCCCCTTCCCTGTCACTGCCTTCCCAAGAATAACCACTAGCTTAATTTCTGAAAGCATAGATTAGTTTTGGCTGAGATTTGAGCTACTTGTAATATAATATTTAATTCATCAGAAGATTTAACCGGTTCTGCCCATCATGAAAAGTGTAGCCCTTTTAGCATTTGAGATAATTCTGATTATACTGTCTTTTGGAGAGCAGTATGCATAAACTAATCCCAAACAACACTGTCTTTTTGATGTTTTAGTGAACAGCAGAGAATGTCAAAAGAACTTCAGGATATTTACAAGGCGGCAATTTCAGCAGGCATCATTGGCTGGGCATATGGGGGGATACCAGCTTTTATTCATGCTAAACAGCACTATATTGAGCAGAGCCAAGCAGAAATTTACCACAACCAGCTTGATGCAGTGGTATGTACTGGTGTTCTAATAGTATTTAGGGGCATGCCAATTTAGCTGTTCCTTTTACACTTAGTCATCTAGTTAGGTGGTAGGGTTGGGAACGTTTAGGAAACAAAGTCTACTTGACAACAGTGCAAGTACTAATGCTAAAGTGCGTACACGAGCCTCGTCAGACCACTTATCTTCAGAATTGATCACCACTTATGACTCTACTTTCTGAAATATATTTCTACACCCGTGCTAAATCGTCACAGCTCAGCTGTAGCATATTTATCCTATTCACAAAGCCTCCTGCAGTACACTAGCTCACACTAAAACAATAATTAACACTTAGAGCTTTATAGCTTGTAGAGTGCTAACTCATTTGTTATATCTTAGCTCTGTACATCAGTTCTACTGTATTAGGAAGTTACAGCTCAGAAATTTTTGTTTTTTGAAGCTTTTTTTAAAAAATTGTGTCAGACTTAAAAGTTGCAAAAGTAGTACCAGTGTCCCACAGTATCCAAGGGGGATTGGGATCCAAGGACTCCTGCAGATACCAAAACCCGAAAATGCTCAAGTCTTTTGTATAAAAAGGCACAGTACCATAGACCCCCATATCCATGATTCCACATCCTCAGGTTCCAAATCTGAGGATACAGAGGGCTGACTATACAAAGAATTCCTGTATACCTTTCAATCAGATTCTCCAAATGTTAAAATTTTACGACATTTGCTTGCTTATTCTCTCTCTGTATAAGGCGTACTATTATTTTTTTGTGAACTGCTTGGGAGTAAGTTATAGACACATGAGTGCTTCAGCATGCATTTCCTAAAAACAAAGACATTTTCTTACATAACCACAATATTATTATGCAGAGCAAGACATTAACACAGAGTACTGTTACCTTACCTATGGACTTTATGTAAATTTTGCTAGCTGTCCCACTAATATAATTTATTTTAAAAGTAAACAATTCAGGGGCTTCCCTGGTGGCGCAGTGGTTGAGAGTCTGCCTGCCGATGCAGGGGACACGGGTTTGTGCCCTGGTCCAGGAGGCTCCCACATGCCACAGAGCGGCTGGGCCTGTGAGCCATGGCCGCTGAGCCTGCGCGTCCGGAGCCTGTGCTCCGC